ATACACAGCTAAAACGCACCCCAAACGTGTCCTTACCTCATAGTACCACTGAGAGAGGGGCAAGCTGTGGGTGATGGCAAGCCAGTTCCTATGGACTTCGAAATCTGTGGAGTAACTACAGAAGGTGCATGTTAAGAGTAACTAAGGGAAAAATTTCAGAGCACATCACCACATGCAGACAAGAAGGAAGCCACTCTATTTATCAGCTCTAGGATGCTACTGTGATCGAGTAACAACAATGCTGCTCAAGAACTCTGTGCCAAAGATGTATCATAGAATGGTGTGGGTTGGGAGAGACCCTAAAGACCATCTTGTTCCAACCACCCTGCCATGGGCAGGAACACCTTCCACTAGACCAGGTTTCTCAAAGCCCCATCCAGCCCAGCCTAGAACACTTCCAGGGACGGGGTATGCACGAATTCTCTGGGCAGCCTCTCCCAGTGTCTCACCAACCTCACAGTAAAGATTTTTCTCCTGACATCTGATCTAAAGCTCCCATTTTATTTAGTTTAAAACCATTCCTCCTTGTCCTATGACTGACCATGTAAAAAGTCACTAATACAGGTGCTTATAGGGCAAGAACTACTAAGAGCTTGGCTTTTCCGGACAATTAATGAGAAATTCCAAGTTCTAACTGAAGTTTAACAGCAACTTGTTAGGGTTTTTTCTCAGTATAAAAACTTAAAAATACAAAGCATTAATGTTTCAGAACGCTTTCAGCCTTCCCGAACAGCAGTCAGCCAGAACGGGCCAGCAGGGCTTCCCAAGAGGAAAGGAAAGCTGTGCCACGCGGCGGAGGCGGCGGCGCCTCGCTTCCCTCACGAACCCGGGAGTCACATGGACCTTCAGGGCCTCCTCAGGACCGCGGCGCCACGCTGCCCGCGGCCGGCCGCCCTCGGGGGTTCGCGGCAGCCCCAGGCCACCCGCCCCCGCCCCCGCCCCCGCCCCGTCCCGTCGTCCCGTCCCGTCGGGAAGCTCCTTACTAGGCGGGGATGAGGAGGCACTTGAGGAAGGACACGCCGAGCGCCAGCGCGCGGAACCAGCCGCGGCCGCCCGCCGCCATGGCGCGCGCACCCCCTGCCCTGCGCATGCGCCGCGTCCGCCGCGCCGGTTTGAAGCGCGCGCGCCCGCCGCGTCGGGAACGGGGCTGCGGCTGCGCGTGCGCGGGGAGGGCGGGGCTCCATGAGGCGCCGGAACGGGCGCGAGCGGGGAGGGAGGGAATTTAGGATGGGTATCAGAAATTCTTTGCTGTGAAGGTGGTGAGGGACTGGCACAGGAAACGGTTAATGATTAGCCTGCACGAACAGAGATAAAGAATGCAATAAGAGAACCCCTGAGACCAAAAATCAAGAGGCATCGGGAAGAATGAGTGCATGGACTGAGGGTACAAAAGCTCAGGGATCTCTTTGTTGAGCGTCCCTCTGTGCAGACACCCAGCCTGAGCTGACCTGCTGCTGTACCAGGCTATTACTATTTACTTTTAGAAATCAGCACCTGAGACTGCTACAGGGAAGCTCGGGTTGAGCCCGAAGGAGGAGGAAGCATGCCTGGAGTGAGTGTGGGTGAGCGAGCAGTTGGTTGGTGCTGTGAGGCCACCCAGCCTCCCCTGGGCAGAAGCTGCTTTAAAGTACACCAGCTTAACTCTGCTCCAGGGAGGTGCCATCTCCAGCCTGTGTGGCTGGTGTCCAAGTCAGTTTTCAGGTACAAAGTTCTCTTTCAGAGGAACAGGCTCAATTTTTTAAAATACCTTCCTGCCAGCCTGGAGGGTAGATGCATACAAGGCTGATGCCTTTTTAGCTTCCTTACAGTAAACCTCCATCTATCTAAGAATAGTATCTTGTAGGAGCTGCATGGAATCATACAGTTAACATGTCAATTTTTATTTTCCTGTATAGCAGCAATGTATTATTTGCTCGAGCTCAGGAACTAGAGACAAGTCTAACAGCAGTAGTGCATCAGGGTTTAAGAAGAGGGTCCTCATTGGAAAAACAAATCCTCTGGTTTTAAATGTTTGAAATGTAAATGAGCTAATGCATTTAAAATGGTTTTGATTATTTACAAAGGCTTGTTCATCCAAGTTTTCTTCAACTGCACTAATTCCTGGGGATCTTGCAATTCCAGCCACCGAGAGGTGGAGGTAAGTATTACAAGGAGGCAGTGGTTAGAGAAAGGGAAAGCTACAGGTGCAGCAAGCATCACTCATGCTTTTTTCTCAAGAAATATCAGTCAGAGCACCTCCTGCTTCATTCACATTTTATTTATTATACATTAATTTATCTAAAATACATATTAGTAACAGTTCACAGAAGGAGTTACAAGCAGAGGAACGCAATCAGATTTTAAAATGCGATAGCCCTACAGGCCCTCTGTGAATGTGGTAAGCAATAAAGACCATCTTTTCACACTTTTCAAACGCTACTGATTCAAAAGCATGGCTTTTAGTGAGCTGGGGTCCAAATTCTGATCAATGGGAAAATCCACAATTAGGAGCTGGAGCGTTAAAATACTGAGTGGAATGCCCAGAGGATGAGGACAAAAGAAATTATTAGATACAGCTCTCCCCTATAGCTCCTTTTTTTTTTTTTTTTTTTTTTTTTTTTTTTTTTTTTTTTAATGAATTCCCAGGGAAAACATTCCTTGTGTTATTCCCAGGTGAACCTGTGAGCTTGATCTGGACATTTATATGCAATCAGCCCTTCTTGCACAGACTGTGACTGCCTCTACTAATTCTCAATCTCTACATATGAGACTGTCACTGGGAGGGCCCCACATTAACACTTCTTGTACCCCGCATGTTTGTGTCCATCAGCATGTAGATGCAGAATGGAAGTTAAATGTTTCAAAATGCATGGAAATTCTGAGCAGAGGCACCAAGTTCTGCAGGATGGGGTGAAAATAAAACTGCCCAGAGGAATCTTCTTCATAACTTCTTCATTAATCTGTGAAGTATCAGAAGTTCCTAGCTTATTTTCCACAGTCTATGGCTGAAGACAGTATTTATCACTTCCACCAACCTTTCTACCTCGCTTTTTATTCCTGGGAATAAATCTGATTGGCTGCAGATATTTGCTGCCTGTGAACTCAAGCAGCAATTTATACTCAACAACCCAGTTATAAAGTTCTAAGTACAGCAGTGCAAATGCTTGGTGATTTGAAGCACATGCAAATTGAAGCAAAGCTGACTGCTCCCGAGAAGCTACTAGCATAAGTCTTGGCATGATCCATATTTAAAGTGGATAATAGGAGATTAAAACTGGAAAGGACCAGTGAATCATTCTAATCACAGACTCTTCTAGCAAAATCTTTGTCTCCATTGTTATCTTGCTGTTCTTGGTTTTTTTTTTTTTTTTTCCTGAATACATCAAGATATTTTTATTCTCCTCCTTCTAAATCCTGGATTTCTTGTTAATGTGAATTCTTTCAGAGCTAACTTTTTACAACTACTTCTTTTATTTCTTTGCCACTGCCTGCAGAAACAAGCACTCCTCCCATCAACTCCTCCCTATAACAGCTGTATAAACTAAGTATCTCTTATTATTTATATACAGTATCAGTCTCATCATTGTAACTGGACATGGCTAGATATTTAAGAGATACCAAGCTTAAAAATACAAAGAAATCTATGAGTGATTCTTTCTGGAGTCCATTAAGATGTTTTGTTAGTCTTTTTGCCATGTAAGAAATATCACTGTGCTATGCACACGTCCAGATCTGAGAATGCCATTAGACTACAGCTAAAACCTTGTTTATCATCTGTCCTGACACTGGTATTCTTCTCCTCTAACACTACTGAACATTCTATTCAGTGGTCATTTAGGAAAAAAAAATTAAAAATGAGGTCATTAAAAAAAAGAAAATTGCAGGGCTTGGCCTCATTTTGTAAACTAAGGTATTGAGAGAGACAGGCATATGGCAGAATCAGGAATTATGCACCAAGAGAGAAGAAAGCACAGAACTTTAAGGGAAGAAAATGTCACTAGATCCTTTCCAGTAAAAAAAAAGTTTGTTCTGAGAGTGAATATTCCACTCAGCAGTGAAATAATTTTTAGATGTTACTGCTAATAAATGCCAAGTGCTTTTCATGACTAGTGATGGGGTTGTGCTATACTTAGCATGGCTTTGTGCATGTTTGCTTCTCTTTAATTCAGGAAAACTCTTGAGAAGAATCATTATCAGTGCTGTTGACTGGCAAAAAAAAGCAAGTTACACTTCCAGGGCTCAGAAAAAGAAGGTAAACAAAAAACAGCTATTCAGATAAAATGCAAACAAATGGTCTGGAGAGAGAATGTTCCTATAAACAGTCATTATATCGTAACTCACAGACTGCAAAATTCGGGAGCAGCTATAAATTGAGCTTAGTGTAGAGTTTGAAATAGCAGCTGCATTTGTAGAACATATGTTTGACTGCAATCACAAGTGATTCACTTACCGCCCATTTCCAGTATAAATAGTACCTCATACTTAAGGATGTTTATTGTGCTTAGCAAGTTTGAGGTACCTCAGGTTCTTCTGTTCCTTCCAAAGCATGGCTTCACTCATGTCTTTGTAGTGGTTGGAAATTTTGCATCCATCTATCTATCTATCTATCTATCTATCTATCTATCTATCGAGATATTTTGCATCTCAATATCTGTTAATAAATGACAGAGATCTGGGGCCAGCTGTACCTTTTACTGACTTAGTTGCATGAGCACAAATAAATGTGTATTCAATTTGTTCATCTTCTGCATAACAGATGATGGGTTAAAGTACTCAAGGTGAAGATCTGAGTCCAGTTCTCTCCTTTTACCAACTCCTCTTACTTGTCTTTCACCAAGAAAAATGCAGTAATGATACAACTCTCCCATGGAATATTTTATTTTGCTGAAATAAATGGAGCTAAACTGATCCTGAGCTCTAAAGGGTGTAGGTTACACCTCCCCCCTCCCCCCCCACGCCCCTTCCAAATGAGATCTAAGCCCAGTGCTCTTACCTTTGGATAAACTCAAGGTGACAGGAAACAAATTCCTACTGGTATTATTTTAGTCATGACATACAAGAGCTCTGGTTACAGATCATTTAAAATCTACTCTCAAGGGTGTCGATTAAAAAGAAATACCATCAACAGTCCCCAAAATCTCTGTTAGCATAAATTCAACAAGGGCATATCTGTTTCAAGTCACAGATTTGATGAAAGAGGGTTCATTTTACACATCATAATCATATTACCAGCACAGATCATCCCTGTCAATGTCCAGCTGACCAGCCAGCTCATGCTTTGTAATTCAGGACTGGGATGGAAAAAGGAAAAAGAAAGGTTCCTCCTAATGCAACTAAATATAGAACAACATGGTGACTCAAATTGGAATTTGCTCACAAAATCCTGTTTACAATCAAAATTTGCCACGTTTAGTGGTTCTTCAAGCCGAAGTGGGTTTCAAGCCCAATAAGTGCTTTCTGACAACATGGTCCCACGTATATCATGCTGGTTTAGCACTAAGTCAGACAAAGGGCAGTGGTTTGTAACAACTGCAGAATGTGCATTTTACCCATGAGCATGCTGATTTGTGTTGAGCATGCAGTCACAGTTTGGGACAGTAGAAATATATTGATCACATTGTTTTTTTACAAGAAAAAAAAGCTTCTTTATGCTTGTTCACAGGTCAGCTTAGTGTAACAGAGTAGCTGCTTTGGGAAACAAGAACATGCGCATTACTGAGCTTTGCAGCCCTGTGCTAGAAACCTTTGGAAGCACTAAGCCTCTAAATGCAAAACTTAGTTATTGCATTTTCCCTTCTATCTCATTAAAGATACCTGAAAAAGTTCCAGAGGGCCTCTCATGCACTCATAACAATCTGGTTTGGGAAATACAGTTAAGATACTTTTAAACATAATTAGCTAAGAAAGAACCATCTTGAATGTGGCACAAATTATGTTTAGAGACAACATGCAGCTAGTGAGTTATGATCTTCATTACAGCACAGACCAGGTGTGTAGGGAAGAGTTTGACCTCTGATTTCCCACTGCTTTCCCTCTGGCAAGCTGACACTGAACCCAAGCAAGCAGGTAAAATTCTTTTAGTGACCTGACCATTTCACAAAGATATTAGACAAAAAAAGGCTCAATGAACCAGAATAGGAAAAATGACCCTCTCTTTTTGCAATGAAAAATATTAGGTATAACCTGGTGAGAATGTTGTCTTTTCAAATGAAATCCATCCTACCCGGATAGTATCCCATGCATTCCAGGCACTGCTGAAGGGAGATATGCCCAAAAGAGGCTCAAATGTTTAGAAGACATTTGGGGGCCTCTGCCCCAAAATCTGTCTTCCCTTTAGAAAGTTTCAGCAGCATCCTCCAGACAGCTATTACCATTGTAAGAGAAAGAAAAGGACTAGTTGTCTCAGATGCCTTTGGAATGTAAAAGTAAAGATTTAATCTTCTTGGTTTGTAATAACACCATTCTCTCTTCTGTGGCTTCCTTGCCAGTCACATTATTCCAACACAGTTTCCCTAAAGCACAATAAAGCAGGGGCTTCCACACAGGGTTGAGAAAAAACCCCAAGCCAGCTTCACAGAAATCCTTTGTTGAACCCAAAGAGATGGGATCCCTCAGTCATTTGCAACTTGTACCGTCCTTTACAGCTGTCTTGAGTGCATGTGGGAAGGCTTCTCCTCCGCAGATCCAAAGCTTCTTGAATGCTCTGCACAGGTGATACAGCAAGGCATGGCAAATGTGCTCCTAGGGCTGTCTACTGCACTGCAGCTCCGTGGTATCTTTCACTGCATCCATTCTCCAGATACATTCCAAACCACGGGTACTGAACTCTCACATTCCCTGGCAGTGCAGGTTAAGGATCACCCATTTTCCAACTGCAGAGACGACAGAAGTTAAGTGATTTTCCCCAGAATTGTACAGCAGGTCAGAGGCAGAGGCAGAGACAGAGCCAGTCCTTAATTCAGGCGCTAGACAATATTGCTTCTGTCTGGAATATGTACATATTCTGGAAGGTCGTATTGGTAAGTACATTAAAGGAAAATCATCTCCTTGTTAGTGACTTAATCCAGATAAGCATGATTCTGAATTAGGCTGTGTGTTTTAAAGGGAAACACTGAACCTGTGTTATCTCCATGCTAGCACCACAACAGCCATTCCTACTTGTACCGAATTAGGCGAATAATCTTATTATTCATGAAATCTGAAGTATGTGGATGAGCAGAATCTATGCAGAAACCATCACTCATGGCTATTTTCAGCACTTCTTCCACAAACACCTGGAAACTATTGATTTGCTTATTATCTGGCACCACCCAAAGTCTCTTCAAGTTCTGCCTGGTGTACTCCTCTTCAGGAAGGCCTTCCACACTTGCAACCCAATCTAAGGTCAGGTGGTTGGGGTCCTGCAGGTAACTGGATATTGAGGAAAGGTTTCCATTGAAACAGTAGTACAGTTTGGAACCAAGAAGCTTCAGGAACAGGCACGACGTGGAGAAGATATGAGCACTGAACACTTCCATGTTGGAGGAAGACAGGCTGTAAATCTGGGGTGCTTCTCGGACAGTGAAGTGAACAGTCTGGGTCTTCTGATCGAGGGTGATGTTGAGCATGGCATTTTTCTCTGCTTTAGAAAGCTCTACCTCTTTCTCCTGCAAGGCCTCAATCAGGGGCTGAATTTGATAAAAATCTACTTCCCGTCGCAGTAAGCCCATTTCCTGAAAATCTTCGGGAAGATCCAAGTGAGAAGTTCGTAAAAAGTTCAGGATATAGCGGAAGATTTTGCCATCTCTGTCAATAAAGCAGTTGCCTTGGCTGTCCTTCTTGGTTGGGATCTTCCCACTAAACATGGCCCCCAGCATGGAGTCTGGAAAGCTAGTCAGAGTGGACAGAGAGGTGGTATAGAGCTTTCCTCCAACATTGAGCGTGATAGGTTCTGACATGATGGAAAAGTCACAGTGCTGGGACTAATTCTAAAAAAAAAAATTAAAAAAAAATCCAACAACACACTTAGTTGCAATAATCTTTTTTAAAGGGATAAATAGTACTAAATATATATAAAGTAACCATGTGGCAAGAATTCACCATAGAAATTAGAAGTGAGAAATTATGTTTGGGGTTGTATATTGAGAACAAGCATAAGGATGTTTTTTCTCCTAACAGATTTGAACAGGACTTTGTTTAATTCAGTTTAGTGCCAGAAATCATGATTCTTCCAAACCTTTCCAATTATTCTAAAAGTGAATCTCTCCCACCAATACCTACAATGAGGGCTGACTTCAAAGTAGCGTTCTGGGTTTGTATGATCACATTTCCCTCACAGAGAATTTAGAGGGTGCAAAGAAGAAAAGGACAAGAACTTGACACAATCCAACATCTTCCATAGTGTTTGAGGCTATGATTAAAGTAACAAAGCAGTTCAGCAGAATCCCCTGACATATGTCTGAGTGCAGTCAGCATAGTAGGGAGCCAGACAGCAGTTGCTGCCGTAAGCACATGACAGTCTGTGGTTCCTTTCATTAAAAATAATCACCAGACTTTCTCCTTCCTTTGTGCTTTACCCTAGAAAACATTTTGTAATTATTTGGGGCCATATTCCAGTTGACATTGTTTTCATGCCGAGCCTCTGCCATCAGCTGACATGAACTAAGGATGTGATTTTAAGGCACAGTTAAGCCATAGGAAGGGGCATGTATGACCTCCCCTTGCCCTCCACCATACTATCTTCTTCCCATATGCCACCTCTGGCACTCTTTTGATCCCACAGTGAGTCAGTTTAGGGAGAATACACAACATTTTCTATTCAACATGCTTTGCTGTCTGTTAGAACTGGACTAATGCCAGCGCTGGGGCAAGGGAAAAGAAAGAAGCGGTGCAGCTGTCTCCACTGCAGTTCAGCTCAGCTGTCTTGTGCAGGTGGCCCATTATTCCTGCTACCTGAGGACCTGCAAACCTGTTTTTCCTTGTTTGCTGAATCTAAATTAATCAATAGTTCAGCAGGAAACCCACAGTGTTTGCTTACAGAGGCAGGAGGTAGCTCTTGCTGTAGTAACTAAGGCAATTCAACAGAAATCTGCCAAACAACTCCCTTAAAATTGAACTTAAGTGCAGGCATTTTCCTAACTAGTAATGGAATAATTATAGACACTACCCACTATTATCAGCTCTGGAGTCACAGCAAAATGCAGATAGGGAGAAGATCATCTGTGCTGGAATATCAATTCTTTCATGGCTGCTAAAACCCAGATAATATTGCAAATGGCATTCTAAAACAAATACACCTCTAGACAGCAGCACATTTTGCTGAGAAAAACTGGCCCAACCTAGGGCAGATAATTAAGAGGTCAAAGGAGAGCCTGTCTTTAACTTCTTAAGACTAACATTCCACTTTGTTCTTTAGCTCTTGGCACACAGCCTATATCCCACTGGACAATAATGGAAAGATGCAGATCTCTAAATCTAGAGTGCTTTCCCTGTGTATCCCTCAGTCCCATGCCTCCAGCAAAACTGGCAAATAAAAATGCATGTGTAGGCCAACACAACAACACATGCATTGATGACCACAGACCATCCTTGTGACTAACCTCAGCCAAATATACTCCAGAAAAAATCCCTATCTGTTCCAGTGCTAAACTCCCCTTGGCACTGTAGTTTCAGCATACTTCCCACTCTTGAAGACTTCAACCAAATTTAGTGTCAAGAACTGTTTAAACCTGATCATGTGGAGGCTTCAACTGATCTAATTCTGTAGCACGAGTGGCTGCCATGGATTGTTCCCTGAAGGACTTGCAATATTGAAGGTCTGCAAAAGCATTGCTACAAGAACAATCAGGCATTCACAAAAGCAGCCTAAAATGGATTTTACTTTTTTTCACATTTCATCAAGCAGAAGTTTCCCCATACCTCCTTACAAATAACACAGCCTGTAGAAGCAGGACTGATAGTGACTCCAAAAGCCATGTTCATTGCTTCCCACCTCTGCTTCCCTTCAAGCTGCTGTAGACTAAACAACCTGTTCTTCCTTCACAGGTGAAGCTTTCAGATTTTTGAGCCCATGCCTGCTTATTTACACCATGAGAGTTTTTCCTCAAGCTGTCTGCCAGACTTAGTCAAACACAGAGCAAGATGTTTCCCTTGATGTATCTGTGACAAAGCTTCACTTGGCAAAGCTCATGGTCAAGAGTCACAACCCAAAGACCACCATGCAGTCCAAAGACCACCATGCAGTCCAAAGACAAATCTTCATTTCAAGCTCATCATCCATCCCAGGTTTACTCTGATCCAACACCTCACTGATAGCCTCAATGAGAGGCAGACAATTCAGTCCAATCTCAACAGATAACATTTAAATCTCCTGTAACTGTTTTCTTATCAGCAGTGCAAAAGGGATGTTGCCAACAAAATATGGCAGTAACATGAACTTTCTGAAGCGGAAGACTGTATCTATGCTGGTGGCAACAGCATCAGAAATCAAGCCAAGCCTTAGCTCTGGAGCTGGAAGAGTAGCATGGAGATTGGGAGCCTCTCAGCGTGTGGGCCCTGCTCCTCTTCCACCTCTGGGCATCGCTCAGACACATGCCCTGGACAGCCCATCTGCTTATGGCTATTCTGCATTCTAAAGACCCATACAGACTGGATTTCTCTCTCCCAGGACACCAGCCTGCTCTGATTTTGAACCTGCTCATGACCCCTGAACTAGATTAAATTTTAAACATTGAACAAGGCCATGGATAAGGCTGGAGGATAACTATTCCTCAGCTGTCATTCCTAATTGTCTTCTTTTACCTAATTCATCCCATTTCTTAGAGGTTTATGTCCTCAGAATGTGAAGATGAATCAGATAGTCTGGGAACCTCAGGAGAGCAAAAAACATGAGCACAAATGAGCACGAATGTCTACTGGATTTATAATCAACCTGGACTTAGTGCATTGACCAACCAACATACTTGAGAGTAGCTGGGGAAAGTCAATCTTTGCTGCTTTTTCCCCTAAACACTTGTTTATGAAAAACTGTTTTTCATAAACCGGTAAAAGCTGAAATGAAATGGGCTGTAAGTTTTCTCTCTTTAATCATTCAACCAGCATTTGCAGCCCCCAGCATGGTTTTTTCAAGCCCTGGGTGCTTTACTAATGCAATGTAAATGTTGTCCAAGAATGCAGGATGAAAATCACTTATTCTCGGAGAGATTCCACAAAGAGGAGGTACCAAGAGGTTCTGACCTTGGACATGGGAGGCTACTGGTCTAGTGGAAGGTGTCCCTGCCCATGGGATTTGGGGGGGGGTGGGGGGGGGGGTGGGGTGAGTAGGTTAAATGATCCTCAAGGTCCCTTTCAACCCAAACCATTCTATGATTGTATGATTCTATAACCTCCTGTCACCAAGGAGAAGTACAAATTGGGTTATGGTTCTTGGAAGCAGAAAATTACAGTAAAGTATTTTGTGTAGCTCCTCCCCAAGCAGCATTTAAAATTCACTCAGATTAGGTCAGCTGGAGATCTAATTTGACACATGAAGATGCAAATTTGGCTGAAGAACACAAGATTTATTTTGTGCTTCTAAGAGCAACCTGTATTTAAATACCACTTTTAATATCATGGAGGGGAGGAAAGTCTACATTTGATTTAAAGTCATGATCTTACTGCATGATGTAAATTGAGAGAAACCAGCAGTGCATGGTCAGCTTTATGAAAAAGTCAAACTCCCGAACCGAAGCTGCTGTCTCAGCATCTAGGCATTTCAATTGACCACAGCTTGTAAATTTCAACTTGGGTTTTACACCTAGGAGCATCCTCAACAGCTGCATAGAGAACATTTCTGCAGCAGCCCTCTACCCCATGAGTTTAGTTCAGCAAGGAACTGGGAGAATGATGGGGGTTGACACAGCAGGAAGGTATGCAAGTATGCAAAATAACAAAAGCAAACTGTTTTCACTGATCAATGCCCTCAAGTATTTAGAACCATTATCATCATACACTTTGTTTCATAATCATTTTGAATGTAGAACAGCTTTGGATAAGCTTGTTCTCCCCTCTCCTGTATTCGTAACATTTAAAAGCACTTTAATTAGCTAATAAATAAAATTCTGTATACATAATTTAACTGAGTGCCTGTTTCACCCAATTTGGCAAAAACCCACAAGTGTACAGTAATCATCAGAACAAAAAAACCCCATCAACCATGATTTGCCAACATAAGTAAAATGTAAACAAATGGCACAAATATTACTATGTTTTTAACCACTGAAAAATACATACAACTATAACCTATCCTTTTTAGCAAAAAGAATGCAGTTTAATGGAAAGTCTAAAGTTATAGATATGTTTATACAGTTGTCAAAAGATAGCCATAGCTCTCTCTATATATACATATATACATACATATATATATAGATAATTTTAAACAGGATTTTAATTGGGAAAAGAAATTGATTGCCAACACACATTTCACTTTAAAAATGTCAGGGAAGGAAAATGAATCAATCCTTCTGGATTTCAGAGGCAATGCCCAAGATCTGGATAACCGGCTGATCCTAGTATCATTCAGGGGATTTAATTAATGAGATGAATTAAACACAGAACAGCAAAGCAAGAACAATCTGTAATTTGGTTGAAGAGGATCATGTTGAGTTGTTAAGGTTTTTAAAGTCCATCTTACAGTCTGCTTAGGGTCTCTGAAGCCCTTACATGTGGTATTAAAAGCATTAGTTTATTTTTTTAAAGCATTAACATTGTAGCATCTCCTGAAATACAAGTTAACATATGCTGTTACAGAAATAGAGTTTTTGCTGCAAGATTACAAAGTCACTGTTTTTAATGGTTTTAATTTCATGAAATCACACAATTATAGAATGGCTTGCGTTGGAAGGGACCCTAAAGATCATCTTGTTCCAACCCACACCCCATGGGCAGGGACACCTTTCAGTAGACGTGGCTGCTCAAAGTCCTATCCAACCTGGCCTTGAACACTTCCAGGGATGGGGCAGGCACAGATTCTCTGTGTAGCCTGTACCAGTGCCTCCTAACCTCATGTCTAAAGTATTGCATAGCTGGTTAATTTTATCATGTAGCCTTCAATAGCTCACCTGTGAAATATCCCTCGACAACCAAAACTTGGAAAATCTGTATTTAAGACACTGAAATATGTGCAGCTGCTGTAAGAAGTAGTTGAGGACTAACAATGAACCGCAAAATATACACAGAGGAAAAAGAAAGGAAAAATTAAAAAAAAAAAAGAAATTAATTATTTAGTCTGATGCAATGAATGATGCCTAAGTGGCAACAGAATTAAAGCAAGCCAGGGACCATTTCTGCTAAGCATCAGGAAGAGCAGCCAGACTAAAAACCTCTCTGCTTTTTGAGTATTGCCCAAGAGAGCTGGTGAAAGCCACATCAAGTAGACAAATGTTATGAGAGATAGATCAGGTAGTGCTTTATAGGAAGTAATTCTGTCTTGGGAGGGGTAAGATTGATTTCACCTCAGAAAGAAGTATGAAAAAAGAAATAGCCAGGCACCTGTTAGGCTGCTGGAGACTTTAAATGGGATTCAGCAAAAGATGGCTGTTGCTGGGGCTCCAGTCTGCTCCATTAGAGCATATTAGCTGGAACACACAATCAGGCAAAGATGCTCCTTCCTGTGTGAAGCTCCTTCTGCTTTGGGTTTTGCCCACACCTGGCATGTAGCACTTTGCTCCACTGTGTCTTACTGAAATTCACGTTTTGGTTTGAAGTAAAAATTCCAGTTTCTACAAAACACCTGAGCCCTGAGAAATCAAGCAAGCAAACAAACAAAAAAAACAAACCCTCATAAAGTTGAGAACTCCAGACCTGGACACAGCCAAGCCCGTGACACTTGCTGCAACTCTACCTGCAGAACAGTTCTGTGCCTCGTCCATTCTCAAGGGGACAACCTCGTGGAGGAAATCCAAACCCTACAAGCTCGTGCCTTTCTGTGTTATGGGGGCTGCAAACAAGACACTTTGAAGCCTAGAAGTCACCTCTTTAAAGACAAGATAAAAATAATAATAAACTACCTAAAGGGGGAGGGCAGAAACAACCAAAAAGTAGTATTTAAGGGTTAAAAAAACCCCCAACAAACCACACCTCAACTAACCACTTACCCAGCTTTCAGCAGACAGGAGGCACCAATGAGAGCTGAGTTTTAGGAAGAATTTTGGACAAAATCCTTTGCAAGGATAGACTCTCCCCTCCCTTCATATATCCCTGATGCACATTTACTTAGCTCAGCTCATCCTTTACGACTGAAGGTTAAACATTTGCAATATAGTCTCTGCACCCTATATGCTTATTTATGGCAATCTTAGAGAGGAAATCCCATGTTTTCCCATCGCTGCAGAACGGACCCACCTGATTTTGGACACTTACTTAATATGAACCCCTCCAAGTGAGCAGCACGTAAGAGGCTTAAATTCAGTCCGTGAAGCAGAGCATGGCGTGCCTGCCAGCAGCAATAGATCCCAAAATGAAGCGCCTGCGGGGCCGCACAGCAGCTTTTTGTTTCCGGACTACTGTGGTGCCTCTGGAAATTTCCAGCAGGCGTTTGGGGAAAGGCCGCTCACCCCGAGGCTGGCACGGGGGACGTGGCGACAAGCTCTGGGAGGGGACTCAAATTCCCGGCAGGCGTGAGGCAGGAAGCGACGGGTCACCCTTCCTTTCTCTTCTTGCGACTGAATTGCTATCGATCTGCCGGCGGCTGCAATGCTGGGAGACAGACATACTGACTATCCACCTTCGGAGCGCAGCTGCTTATCTGCCAGTTATTTATATTTAATTTATATTTCATTTTCTGACCCTGCTTTGTTATGCACAGTAACGCTGTTCTGCCAGTAAGCCGCAGGAGGGATGGGGTAGCGTGAACGGGAGTTTTGTAACAGCCCCGGTCTGCTGTGGGTACGATGGTGTGTGCTCATCGCTTTCCAAACCTGCACCTCCACGCCCTTGAGCATCTCCTGGGCTGCTTGCTTAGGGATGCACTGGATGCAGGAGGCTTCGCGTAGGCTCTCTGCAGATGCTGAATTTACGCATAAAGAGAAGGGGTGGGGAGGCGGAGGTAGGGAAATAGAGCTGGTGCCCAGCTAGTAAAAGCAAGGAGCGATATAAAGCAAAGGTCAGGTTCCTCCTGGCAGAAGAGGAACAAAAGCAGCAGCGCACAGCAGGGAGCAGGAGAGAGAAAAGAAGGTTAAGTGCTGCCGAAGGAGAACGGCTGACGACAAGATGGAGGGGGAGAGGGAGCGCAGAGCCACAGGGATGCGGCTGCAGCCCGGTCTGGAGAATAAAAGCCCAAGTGGTGCAGTGCTCAGCGCTCTCCTGGTGACCTTCAACGCTTCTAGGCTCAGAGGCTGCTGGGTGGGCAGTGCAGATGGTCGGCAGGGCACTGCCACCGCCCGTCAGAAAGGAGCCTGCTTGGGGTCTCAGAGCAGTGGGAGCACCACTTTTCCCTCCAAGCTGATGGAACCCTTTGTGCAGTCCAATATAATATATCAGTTCTGGCGGAGGTTTTCACTGATTTTCAATGTCCTCTCCCAGCACCCATTTAAGTATCACTTCGTATGCCTGGAATATCTTCCAGATACTCTTTATTTCCTTCATGGAGCACTTTATTTTGTCCCTGAACAACTTCGCGGCGCACGTGGTAGCCACCACCTGCTTGATGGACACACGGGGTGGTTCAATAATCCAGTTTCCACCTCATCTCCCACTGACACCATTGTTTCCAGAGCATCCCTGCAATTAGAGGGCGGCTAATTCCCAGTACGGATGCTGCCGCACCAGAGCAAAACCCACTCAGAAATCACGCTAACAAGGTAGGCATCACCCAAAATTAGATCCTCTGGAGGGCATATATGGCGCCCATCACCCAGATGGACCCAGCTGGCTGCATGTCCCAGGTGTGGGCATACAGGGCTTGGATTCGCTGTGAATACTTAGATTTCGGAGATGTTTCATTGGAAGGGGGCAGGGGAATGTGCAAAGTTTGCAGAGCGGCGCTGAACCCGACCCTGTTAGGGACAATCGGAGGTACGGCTCCTCCCTGCATAGCCAGGCGCTCACAATACTGAATTAGCTCAAAATGCTACAAAAAAACCCCAAATTCCCCTTCAGAAGGGGCTCACCCGTCCTTCCCGCATCCCACAGCGGACCAGCTGCGCGGCTCTCGGCCGCAGGTCCCCGCTTCCTCCCCGTGCCTCAGTTTCCTCCCTCTCGGGGAATTCCGCTGGGGGTGCCCCCGGCCCTCCCCACGCTCCCCAGCCGGGCGGATCCCCCCCAGCCCCGCCGGGGACCGACCTGCGCCCCCTCCAGCCGCCGAGCTCCGCCGCTGGCCGAGAGGCGGAGGGAGGCGGAGGAAGCGGGGGGCGCGGCGCTCCCGGCACGGCCCGGCACGGCTCGGCCCGGCCCGCTGGGAGATGTAGTTTCGCCGCCGCCCTCGGCCCTGCCCAGTGCTGCCCCGGGACTGCGGCTCGCAGCCGGCCACGCCGCATCCCGGCCCCGGCCGGAGGTAACGCGGGCGGGCGGAAGGGAAAGGGGTGCAGGAGCGGGGCGATCAGGGGTTTTGGTGATCGCAGGGAAGGGGGGGGGAGGGATCGAATGCTGGGAAAGCGGTGCAGTAGCGGAGGTCTGGGCTTGGGATGTAGGAGGGATGCTCAGGGAAAAGGATGCAGGAGGAGTAGTCGGGGAAAGAGGTGCAGGAGGGATGCTCGGCCTGAGAGATGCAGGAGGAACGCTCGGGGTAAGGGATCCAAGAGGGATACTCCGGTGAGAGGTACGGGAGGTGTGCTTGGGGTGAGGGATTCAGGAGGGATACTCGGGGTGAAGGGTGTAGGAGGGATGCTCAGGAGAAGGGATGCAGAAGGAGTAGCTGAGAAAAGGAGTCCTGGAGGGATACTCGGGGTGAGGGATACAGAAGTGCTTGGGGTAAGAGGTACAGGAGGAGTGCTTGGGGTGATGAATGCTCAGGGTGAGGGATTCAGGAGGAATACTCAGTGAGAAGTGTATAGGAAGGGTGCTCAGGGTGAGGGATTCAGGAGGAATACTCAGTGAGAAGTGTATAGGAAGGGTGCTCAGGGGAAGAGATGAAGGACAGGTAGTCAGGAAAAGGGATGCTTGGGGCGTTGGGATGCTGGAGGGATGCATGGAATGAGGGATGCTCTGGGTGAGGGATGAGGTAGGCTGCTCAAGGGAAGCAGCGCAGGGGGGGTGCTGGTGGAAAGTGTTGCAGGAAGGATGCTCAAAGGCAAGAATGCTTGGCAGTAGTGATACAGAAGGTTTTTCAGGGGTCAGGATGCAGGAAGGAGCTGGAAGTAAGGGCTGTTTGAGGGTCAGGATAGAGTTGGCGTTCTCAGGAACTGGGATGCTCCGAGGGAGGGATACTCAGGATAAAGGGTAGGGGTGCTTGGGAGGGATACTCAGAGGGATGCTCTGGGGTTGCAATGTAGCAGAGGGCTTGGAATGAGGTCCAGGAAAGATGGTTGGGGTGAGAACTACTGAAAAGGCTGAGATGCAGGAAGGATGCTCAGGAGAGGGATTCTTGTAGGGAGTAGTTTGGGAGAAAGGGCTGGGTTTTGGGATTCCCAGAGAGATGCTTAGACAGAGGTATGCTCTGTGGTCAGGGTGCAGAAGGGAATGGTGGAGGAAGGGGAGCTTGAGCATTTGACTTTTTGGGAATCAAGGTGAATGCTTGGAGCAAGAAATACAGGAGCAACATTGGAAAGTGGGGGGGTGTGCATTCCCCCACTGCCTGCAAACCTGTTTAGAAGGCAGCATCTTGTTATAACAAACTGGCCAAGACAGATTCAGGTTTTCCCCAGGGAAGCTGACCTAGGGAGAGACGCCTGGGGATGTTCCCATGTGATAGGGAGCCAAAGACTCTAAAAGTGAGGGTCAAATTCAGATTAGCTGAGACCCAATCCAATTTCAGGTTAGATCTGCTCCAGCTTGGACTTTGCAGGTATTACTGAAGAATAAAAGCAGATGTTGGAATATTTGCACTGCTATGATGTTTTCATAGCACTTTGGGAGCTCAGCTAGGCCATGCTTCATCTGGTGGCAGGGAAATTTCAATGGCATGCCCTACCTAGACTGAAAGGATGCAACTGAGCGTTCACCTGAGAAGGGGTCTCAAAATGCTTTGGGCACCTTTGTGATAGAGTCCATAAAGTTTGTCATGGTCTCACATTGCATTCTTGCTTTCTGAATTGGCAGATGCAAAGCCAAATATATTGGGGGCTGGAGGGAAACTGAGGTATCAAATGAGCATCATACCCCATTTTTTCTTTCCTGAAGGCACCACCAAAAATTGGAGATCTCTGTCTCCAAACAGTGAATCAGTGTCTGATGAATCCCAGGCAGCGTTGGCAGTATCCGCCCTCAGTCTGGTATGCTTTGGTGAACAGGATGTGGTTTTTCCTTGGGTTATATCTAGGGTTTTAATTTCTATACGGAGACAAAAGCAGACAGAAACCTGAAGATATATCTAGGGTTTTAATTTCTATACAGAGACAAAAGCAGACAGAAACCTGAAGAAAGAAGAGTGATTTTAATGCTATAAATACCTTCAGGAAAACAGCCAGCTTTCCGGAGTAGATGTATTTACAATCTCCAGGGACATTGATAGAGAGGACCTTGGCCTGAAGGTCAGTGCATCCCAGATCTGGGCACTCCCAGCATAAAGCCTTATGGAAGTAGGGTGTCACAGCCCAGACTGAGAGCTGTAGCTAAGCAGGAAAGCAGAAGTTGTTTGAGGAAAGAAAAGGAAGATACCTTCAAATGGACGATGTGAGGAGGAAAACTGGGAAAAACTTACCTATTGCAGGCAGAACAGAGCTTTTGGGCATCCAATGCCAAATAAATTCAGAGAGATCAAAAGCAGCTGTGGTGGGTTATTTTTGTGTGGAGTTGGTGCTGGGCTTACCCACAGAACCAGTGGTTTGTCACTGCTGGTCTGGTGGTTTGAGCAAGCCTTGCCTCACGACCCTTTCTCTCCTGCTGGTTTTCAAGGCAGAGAGTAACTTAATTCCTTGTGTCTTGCTTTCTGTATCTGTACCAGTATGGTTGATAATAAGCTAGTGATGGTTTTGAGATGCTTTATTAGAAAAGGATACCAGTAGGTACTAGAGATATGTGTTTGTGGTTGTTGACTGAAGGGGAGGAATGGAGCTGGGAGGAGCAGTCTGCAGAAAGAGAGGATGAAATGTTGGAGCTATAGGCTCTTTTTGGTGGTGCACTGATTGCTTTGACATCCAGCCAAAACCTTTTTTTTTAATTTGGTGACTGAATGCCTAACAGCAAAAAACAGAGCAAGAGAAGAAACTCAGGGATCTGTGTGCACCAAAGGGATTAAAGAAGAAGCACTGAAGAAATAAGAGAGCAGGGTAGGGTAGGTAAGATAGATGGGTTGAGATAGGGCAGCCTGCCCAGCACTGTTGTCACTTGGAGAGAGCTGATAGAATTGTATTATGTGGTCAAACATATTTATGATGTTTTAGAGGAAAAAAAGAACCATGAAATACATGGTACTGTAGAAAAAAGGAAAGGGGTCTGCAGTGATCTGTGGATCTAAAGTATCAACAAATTTTTAAAAAGGTAGGGAGTACTATATGATAAATTTAGGCTGATTGCAAATAGGTATCTTCTGATTGATTATGTTTTTGAGACCTTTAAAAGAACCTGGCCACAAGAGAGGAACTCATTGTTCCCAAGGTGGAGCTCCTGCATGCAAAGCCATGCAAAATGCCAGCAGTCCAGTTGGGTGACAATGCCTTAAATAAACCTTCACTCTCTGGAGAGAACTGAAAGCTACTGTCCTGCAGAGTGTAGGGACAGCCTCCTGCTCCAAATCTGCTACTGCCTGTGGTGCAGGGCAATGTCCTGTTCCAAATCTGCTGCCTGAGGTGAAGGACAATCTCCATCGGTGCTGTACTAAAGGGCAGTTCTGATTCTGAGGATAGAAAAGTATGAAGAGCCTTGTCAGCCAAAAGTAATTAACTCTAGTGAGTAGGAGACACACAACATGAATGCAATCTGCCACTGGAAAACAGTCTGGGACAGGAAGCAAGGAATATGTGATCTCCTTGAAAAGCAAAGGTGAATTTAAAAAGGCAGATTATAATCATATGCAAAAAATTCAGCCAGTCTTCTGTGCTGGCAATTTTTCCCTGTTATGACTGCAAATGGGTAGAATCTCACTTTTTTTTCTAAAGGGCTATTTAATGGGATTTTTCTGCAGTTATTATTTCTGACTTTCTGCTTAGATCTCATAAAAATTACCCTGGTGCTCTGCTCTGCCACGCCACTTTATGGGGTTCAACTCAGCAGCTGAAAGCAAAGGACAGTGGAGCATCACTATTCATGTATTTGCAGGTCTGGAGAGGCTTGGCTGCTGGCTCTGTCACAGCCTATTCCATCTCCTTGTGCAAATGCTTTGGTCTAGATAGTTTTTAAGTCCCTTCCAACCATTCTATGATTCTATGGTCTAGATGTGCCTTAGTTTTCATATTGCTACAATAACATGAGTATCTATTAGATGTGGTAATGATGTGCAGGCTGTGGTTTCCCCTTCTTAGCTGGATGAACAGCAATGTACTTTGAACAAAAAAAAAAAAAAAAGCCCTTTGCCTATGAATTCATTGGACATTTGTTCCCTGCAAAAAAAAAAAAAAAAAGTTGTTACTACACAATTGCTTCGATATTTCTGGAAAACAGACCCAGAGAGGTGACAACAGGGCTGGTCCTTGTAGGAAGTTGTATACCAAGTCATGGCAAATTTTGTAGACATTTTAGAGAACAGAGTATTTTTTGTGCCTATTTGATAGTGGATATCAAGGCACTATGTGAGCTCCCTTTTATCCTGCAGCAGCTCAGCATGCTGCAGGATTGAGCCCTAATTGCCTGGCTGCCTGGAGGATGCAGCAGGAATAGCAGTAATGTCTTGGCTGACATAAAAGAAACCATTTCGGCAAGAGTTAAGGACAATAAAAGGTGAGTCTCATTTCTGTACTTCCTGACCTCCAGGGAGTTCAGGGAGTAGATATTTTTCTTCTTTGTAAGTCAGAGGCAAACCACTTCATGTATCACTCTATGTTTGGATGGTGGGAATTATTTTTCCTTCTTTAGTGGTATTTATCAAAGTCTCTATGATGCCATTGTAGGAAATGTGCT